CACTTCGTACATGCTTGCAGAAGTCAGGTGCCACGATGAATCCAACACCTCCTGAAGTTGCATTGTGCTTGCGTGCTCCTAGGTATAATGCCGTTCCATCTGTCCACGTGCATGTTAACGATTCCTTCCTCTTTGTCTCGCTGAGTCCGATTACATGATACTTGATCCGTTGAGCTTCATCAATGAGTGCCGAAAGCTGAGCGGCCGAACTGATACTCCTGCAGTTGTAAGTGCAGGTTATCAGATGACTCGCTCTTGTCCTTCTCTTGTTTGTGTAGCTTAACCTGAGATTATGAGCCTTTGGCTGTGTGCTTGAACCAGCGCTACACGACTGAGCAGTGACAGCCTGCAGGGGACTAAGGCTAATGTAAGAAGTGGTCGTAGCATTTTTCGTCCCACAGGATAGCCTTGCTAGGGCGTTCCTGTCGCTCAAGGAGAGCGCCGTCCCACCAAGAGCTTGGGCACTTTGGGTTCTTTCGTCACGGGAATCAGTATGGGGTTCCGGCGTAACTCTACCCTGACGGGTATTCCGATCCCGCTTCAAGCTCGTACACCACTGGTATCTTATCAGCTGTTATCACTTCCTGTCACCCACCAATAATGTTCCCATCCTGCACCCTATCTTACCTCTTGGAACCAACGTCCCATCGTTGCTATGGCGCGCTATGGAGTTGGTGACCTTTTCCTTCTAAGGCCCTTGTGGTATCTTATCAACTGTTATCACTTCCTGTCACCCACCAATAATGTTCCCATCCTGCCCCCTACATCACTTATCAGTCCATCGCTCTTTTGAAGGAAGTTATGAATTTCCGGTCAAACACACATACAGACAAACATTCACACATATACACACACCAACAGACACACTTAGCGGATTATATATAGTAGGATTACTTAGTACCTTGCTATTCGTATCTGAGCTCCCATTATATACTATTTGTGACCGTGGACTTTGCCTTTAAGGACTGAGCGAGGAAATTCTAAAGGTACCCAAGCATCACTACCTTCCGACCTCATTTCCATTCCATTTTTTTCATTTCCGCTGTCAAATGCCGAGTGTGTTGCAGATGCACAGCTTCCAACCCGTTCTACTCGACAAGGACCGTTCTCAGAGGTGGGTTTAGAGTATGTCTTTGAATGCAAGTTATGCGATAAATCCTCAAGACGTGAAGGATTAATACGCATAGCAGGACACAATTCGGCGTCCTTGAACGTGCGCTATGTGGAGGCTTTTCCAAAAAAGGTACTCCACGGCGCCCTATCAAGCCACAATGCACCGAGCTGTACCCCCACTGCGCCCGCTTGCCCACAAATGGACGACCGTACCTGATGCTCGTATCGCTTCATTTGCGAAGTACAATATGAAGCGAAGGGATTGATATGAAGCGGCTGCGGTGCTGCATGGATATATGAGTACATACATGCAGCCGTATCTACCGTAGCGGTTATTGGCACGATGCCAACGGGAAACTCGTCCCAAATTGCTTCTTGAGTCATACAGGACAAGGGCTTCTTTTACAGCTTTCGCCGTGTAGCTCGACTTTTCACCATTTTCTCCCCTACTCCCTTTAGACCGAGTACTAATTTGCCTTTAAGGTGATTGCTATGGTAGACGTGTAACAATTCAATCATTCGAAGAGAAGGGTAGTGAAGCTATTACAGGATAGTGATAGTGTAATGCTGTTATGCTTCCGACTACTCGATACGCGATTGCATTACATCCACGTCAAACGACTAGCTGTGCGGTCATACTCAGGCGTGCTCTGGCGTATCGCTTGACTCTGGCGTGCGTACGGCGTATCGAACAGGGCGGAAACTTAAAAAGCATCAATTCATCGGAGCGTATCTAGAATTCCAGGAGTATTACATTTGAACTGCTACAGACCTTATGCCACGCATGGAAAGGAATCGACCTTAGGTGGTCGCAGTGGGTTTTAAATCCACGAAGGAAGGACTAGTTCCAGCCTACCCGACATCTCCGGTGTATACGGCAACTTCCGTGCATGATGAGCAGGATCTTTCACGATTGGAGCGCCACGACTTTAACTTTTGAAAGAAATTCGGCATTTCAAATCTGCTTGAATCCATAATCTGGAAAACTAGCTTCCTAACCACTACTGCCACATTGCGGTAAGCAAAGGGGAATACCTCGAGTTTGAGTAGAAGGCATCTAGCAAAGAAATCCGCTGCTTAATCGACCTTCGCCGTTGGGGGATACTATAAAATACAGGCATACCGCAACTGTGTGGATTGACAATAGTACCAGATCACTCACAGCCATTCCGAACTTCATTTGGGCATTTTATATCTCTGTTGAGGGGTGGCATTCCTCAAAAGACCGAGTTTTATCGAGTGAACTACGGAATGGAATCACTTAGCTGCATGTCTTATCTTACTTTTGTTCTCCTATCACCCGCCTCTGCTCTTTCTTTTGCTCGCTTTTGTTAGGTTCGCAACTAAGTAATTGCGGATTTCACTCATAGATTTTCAGTTGAATTTTAGGTTTGCTGACGTAGAGCAAGTGTAAAACTTATTTTGTTATTAGACAGTTGGCAATTCAGCTATCAATCGGTATAAAAAGTTTTTTGATTGGTTGCATAGTTTTTGTTTGGCGTTCGTTGAAAAATGGAACATCAAAAGGAACATTTTCGTCATATTTTACTTTTTTATTTCCGCAAAGGGAAAAACGCATCGCAAGCTCACAAAAAGTTATGTGCTGTTTATGGTGACGAAGCCTTAAAAGAACGGCAGTGTCAAAATTGGTTTGCCAAATTTCGTTCTGGTGATTTTTCACTCAAAGATGAAGAACGCTCTGCAGTTGAAGTTGATGACACCTTATCAATCGATTCGGATCTCACAGTACAACACCTGAGATCGCAGAGAAGCTCCACGTATCACATCTTAAAACAGCTTGGCTATGTTGAAAAACTTGATACATGGGTTCCTCATGAACTGAAAGAAACGCATTTAACGCAACGCATTAACAACTGCGATTTGCTTAAGAAACGTAACGAAAATGATCCATTTTCAAAACGACTGATAACTGGCGATGAAAAATGGGTTATTCACAACAATATCAAGAAAAGAAAAAGAATATCAAGAAAAGATCGCGGAGCAGGCCAGGTGAACCAGCTCAAACAACATCAAAAGCTGATATTCATCAAAAGAAGGTTTGTTATCAGTTTGGTGGGATTACAAAGGAATTGTCTACTTTGAACTCTTACCACCCAACCGAACGATCAATTCTGATGTCTACATTGAACAACTAACGAAATTAAACAATGCTGTTGAAGAAAAGCGGCCCGAATTGACAAATCGAAAAGGTGTGGTATTCCATCATGATAATGCAAGGCCACACACATCTTTGGCCACTCGGCAAAAATTATTGGAGCTTGGTTGGGATGTTTTGCCACATCCACCATATAGTCCTGACCTTGCACCATCAGATTACTTTTTGTTTCGCTCTTTACAAAACTCCTTGAATGGTAAAAATTTCAATAATGATGATGATGTCAAATCGCACCTGATTCAGTTTTTTGCTAATAAAAACCAGAAGTTTTATGAACGTGGGATTATGATGCTGCCTGAAAGATGGCAAAAGGTCATTGATAAAATGGGCAATACATTACAGAATAAAATTATTTCGTTCCATGAAAAAATTGTCATTGATATTCTAAAAAGTCCGCAGTTAGTTAGCTGCCGACCCAATATTTTTCCGGCAACCCTGAAATCAGCTGGTTATGTCCCATCAAAGGAGTTCGTGTGAAGTTGCAATCACCGCACGTGCGATCTCTGGATGGGCGCTGTGGGTTGAAACCACTAGTTGTTTGCTAACGGTATATTTCGGAAAGCCACCTCAAGCAGGCAATTTGAAGGCAACCAATGAAGGCAAGATGACTGAAAATCTGTTGAGAGATTCTCCATGTCCGTCTTTCTTGGAACCTTGGCATCTGAATTCAATGTTGCTTTGTTTTTTATGCCAGACCAGGAGGTTGTTATGGTGGAAAAAACTTTATTGGGCCATTTCGGTTAACTCGCCTTTGTCAAAGTCTGTGAGCAAATCGATACCTTTCATGTGTGTTGAGGAACGTATGACAGCGAGGCGGCTAGCTCGCTGAGTTACATTCGTTTCTCCTAGGCTCTACAAGTATTTTTATGATTATTAGGTTACCCACAAGAAGACTTCGATACCCCGAAGGGTAAGTGCTGCTGAATGTTTTTGGAGAGAACACTAAGGCAACACTCCGTTTGAAGGGCTCCATTCATGCACTCCAGAGCAACACTGTAGATAAATCTTTATAACAAAAAATAGAACTATATTATGTACTCATCTTCTGTTCTCTGCCACACTGGAAGCGAGTTCCCGCGGTTAGATGCATATAACAACATAAAAAAACCATTTTCACACTGTTGCTAAAGGCGCCTAATCTGATACAAAATTGATATGTCTCGTGGTTAGTCAATCCATTCGAAGAATGACCCCCGCGCCCAGCCAACACGGAGGACTTCTTCCTTGCCCAAGCATGACAAGAACGCTGTGGCCATGGGAAGCTGCAGCTATATCCGTTACATCGTACGGTTTACCTTATATAAACTTCAAATCCCAGAGACGAATTACCATATGAACCGGCTGCGTACCGTGTTGAAGCGTGGTGAGCTGCGCTTTTGAAGGGATGTCGCAGATTTAGAACAGTTGCACCATAACTTTGTCCAGTACAAGGGAATAATGCTCGTATCAGATTCACCAACAAAACACACCATGTTCAAGTAAAACAAGCAGCCACGCCATTCCAGAGCTGGGATGCGTAGTGTAACTGCAACTTATAAGGTAGTAACGCCCTCGCCACTCCTTGCGGAGCCGCAGAAGAGCGCCAGTGTTAAGGGGTACTAAGAAGGATACTACTTGGGCAAGGAAGGAATCCTACGAATTGGTTGTGCACGGGGTCTGTCTTGAAACCAGAGGGGACCAGCAAATTTTTGATCGATTTGCCTGGATGTGCCTAAGCCTCATCGCGGCGAAATGGTGTAATCGCCGTTCCAGGCTGCTGTCCTGAGAATCCCATTTTGTCGTCCACTGTCAGGTAAGCGACGAGAATACCTGAAATGAAAAGCATTCTACTAAGGGCGTTTACCCATAGATGCATGTAAGTACCTGAGTTTGGTGCTTTGACAGCAGTTCTTCGGAAAATAGTACCGGAGGTAGAGTCCAAGCACAGCAAGAGCCACGAGAAGGATGAGCAAAATTAGGGGACTGTATGCATTCGAAATCATACGAATGAAGAAGTCTTGAGCTAAAACACAGTAATCTCATGAAAAGCGTGCTCGGAATTTCTTTGAGCAATATCGGCTACAACGCTAGCATTTGAAGGGACAGACATTACTAATGAGGATCAAGGGGCAAACAGTATGGGTCAAAATGATCATCTTCATGTGAGATTCGCATCAGAACATTGTACGGTAAGGGCTCTAGAGTGACTCCACCTGAATGCAAGTGACTCCGCTCACCCAGTACGCTGGCGTCAGTCTCAGGTCCCTCCCCCACCCTTCACTGCTTAGTGACGGTTGCAGCGATGATTGCTGAGTGAGCACGGTTGGATGCTCGAACAGCGAAGCATGAACACGACCTGAGACTCAACATTCTTTAGCGAACTACCAAATCATCTCACGAAAAATCGATATATCCACCTTTGGTTTTTCAATGGGGTCCCAGACGAACGTAAGGGGCTAAGTTCTCCGCAAACCTCAGTACTTTTGCCGTCACTCTGCGTTCTTGATCAAGGACTTTGCGAATAGAGCCTTTCATCTAGCTGAAGGAGGAAATGACCTTAACCTTCTATCACAAAGGTTCTCATTCTCTTTAAACTCCAACTCACAAACTATTTGTTCTCTCTTGTCCTGTGTTTCTTTTCCAATATTTTTCGTGCTCAAATTCTTACTGAGCCATTGGCTGCTATTACCAAAATTATTTATCTAGGCCTGTGGCACATTCTAGGGTGTATTCAAGCAAATATCTTCTTCTTCTCCCTAACTCCCGCGCCGTCGCAGGGTCCGCTGTTCTTGCTAGACGTCGCCACTTGTTCCGATCCACTGCATCTTCTGCCGTGGCTTTCACTTCAGTGAGGTCCTTCTTGATGACGTCCCTCCATCTTTTCTTTGGGGCTCCTCGTGGTCGCTTGCCCTCTACTTCGAATTCCAATGCCTTCCTTATTGGGTGGTCTTCAGGCCTCCTTAGTACGTGCCCATACCATCGCAGTCGCTGCTCTCGTGCCTTCAGCTGGAGCCGTCTGTGTGACCGCCCTGACGTCCTCGTTTCTGACTCTGTCGAGTCGTGTCCAACCGCAGATCTCAGCATCCTCATTTCAGCTGAGTGGAGCTGCCTTTCATGGTTCTTGCAGATGGGCCAGCACTCACTGCCGTAGAGCATTGGCCTTACCACCGCCCGGTACACCTTGCCCTTGAGCGTTCTCGAGCACCGCCGGTCGCACAGGATGCCAGTGGACTCCCTCCATTTCATCCAGGCTGCGTTGATTCGGGCTTTCACCGCCTGGTCCACGCTGCCATCAGCTGCTAGGTCGCTCCCCAGGTACTGGAAGTCCTCGACCCTTTCGATGCTCTCGCCATGGCGATCTACGATGGGTTCGGTACACTCTTCGGAGCTCAGGAACTTGGTCTTCTTTACGTTCAGCCGGAGTCCATTCTCAGCGAGCACATCCTGCCACCGCTGCACCTTGTCCTGGAGTTCTTCCCTGCTGTCCGCTATCAGGGCGATGTCGTCAGCGTAGAGGATGGTTTTCAGTGGCCCCTCCATGAGTTCTCCATGACATCCAGAGTCAGGAGGAAGAGGAACGGGCTGAGGGCTGATCCTTGGTGTACCCCAACCGTAATGTTTACCTCCTTTGTCAAGCCGTGAGGGGTGCGTACAGCTGCTTTAGCCCCATCGTACATGTCCTTCACTATGGAGACCAGGTGCTCCGGAACGTTACGTTCTCTAAGCGCTCTCCAGAGTACAGGCCGAGGCAGGCGGTCGAATGCCTTCTCAAGGTCCAGGAAGGCTAGGTAGCAGGGTCGCCGCTTCTCTCGGTACTTCTCCATCAGCTGTCTGGCGATGAAGATGGCCCCTATCGGGCATGAAGCCGAACTTTTCCTGCGAGATAGAGACAAGTTCCCTTAGCCTTGTGTTGACCAGGCGCTCGTACAGCTTCATGGTATGGGGAGTCAACTTGATGCCGCGGTAGTTGGAGCACTCCGTCGCGTCCCCTCCCTGTTTGAAGATGGGGACGATTGTGCTGGTCCTCCACGCAGCCGGCATCAACGTCATCTTGTTTAGGAACTGTGTGAGTCAACTCGCATGCTCTCCAAGGGCCTTCCATGCCTCTATCGGTACCCCGTCTGGACCCACTGCTTTCCCAACTTTCATTCTCCCTAGCTCTCGGCGGACTTCATCCTTCGTCCAGGGAGTGATCGGGACTTGCCTATATCTGTGGGCTATCCTTGCGAGGGAATTCTTCGTTCAGAAGTCCCTCGAAGTATTCTTCCCACCTCTTCCTGACTTCGGCTGGTTTCCTGAGAATGGCCCCGTTGCTGCTCTTCACAGTCTTTACGACCCTGATGTCCTGAGCAGCGCGATGCCGAGCTTTAGCCAGGCGGAAGACGAACTTGTCCCCTTCTCGGCCCTCCAGCTTCTCGTACAGGGCGTCCATTTCCGTATTCTTGGCCTTAGCAACGGCTGCCTTAGCGAGTCGCTTGCAGCTCTTGTAGGCAGCGAAGTCTTCTGGGCTCCGTGTCTTTTGCCAGCGTTTGTATGCTTCCTTCTTCTGCTTGACGATCCTCTGGACTTCCTCGTTCCAGAACCAGGCTGCCTTGTCTCCTCTGATACCACCTCGCGTCTCTCCCAGGACCTCCCTTGCACACTGTAGGATGACCTCTGCTGCGTAGGTCCAGGTGTCCTGGACTGGCCCATGTGGGTCTGGGAGCCCAGCCTCCAGTATTCTTCGGCCGAGGCTATCCTTTTCTACCTTGCGCATTTTCCACCACCGAATTCTTCGCTCTGCTCTCACCCTCGTCTTCTTGGGGAGGTCTATGGCGATGTCTGCCAGGAGAGGCCTGTGCTGAGGGCCCAGCTCTTCCCCAGGTAGTACCTTGATATCCTTGACGGTTTTGAGAGACGACCTTCTTACAGGGACGGGGTTTCATCCACTGCTGCCGGTTATCTTCTGAGTCCTCCTTTTCGCGAAGAAGGTGCTGCAGATTGCTAAGTCGTGGGCTGTGGCTAGGTCAAGGATCCGTTCTCCCTCAGCGTTCCTTGCTCCTATTCCTTGACCTCCGTGCACCCTTTCTAGACCCCTTCTGTCACTTCCCACATGGCCATTCAGATCCCCAGCTATGGTGAGGTACATCTTCCGGAACCGATCTTATGGCCTCGTCCAGGGTCAGGTAGAACTCATCCTTTTCCGCCTCGGAGCAACCGGATTGTGGTGCGTACACGGTCAGTACTGTCCAGTACCCCTCCTTCGTGTCCATTCTCACTCCCATGATCCGATCACTGATCCTGTTCACAGAGAGCAGTCCTTGAGGGATTCGGCTACCGCTATGGACACGGAATGGCGTGACCATAGCGAGACGCAGACGCAGTCTTCGAGGGATTCTGCCACCGCTATGGCCACGAAACGGCGTGGCCATAGCAGAATCCCTCAAGGACTGCGTCTCGATGTTTCCTCCATTGTAGAAGAGTTTGACACCTTCTCCAGTCTCACGGGCGTTCGCACCCGGTCGCACGAGACTTCCCGGTAGTAGGCTCGGGAGGTAGACTTCCCGAGACTTGCCCACGTTGGGTCCCAATTCGAACTAGCTTCCTTTGGCCGAGGTCGGTCATCCCTCGCATACTGACCACAGAACTCGGGCGAGGGTTCTGCGCGCCACTTCCGGGTGACGTCCTAGCTTTAACACTGATACTTTTGCGACTTGTCATGATTGTTGTGACGGGTTCCTCCATCAGCCGGCCTGTCAACCTGGGCCTGACGCTGGTATCGTCCCCATTTTTGCAATTTTTGCAAGGCAGGTTTGTGCCTCGGCAGGGATCGAACTCGTGGCTCAGAGTGAGAACATGAGTCTACACTCCTTAACCACTCGGCTATCCCTGCCTTATTCAAGTAAATATATGAATAAATAAATATCACTAAAATCACTATGGGCAAGCTCTTCCCGGAAGGAAAATCGTTTTGCATTTTCGAAAATTATAACTGAAATTGATGCTAACGATGATAAAAGTCCCATTACAGACGGCACCTTTACCAACTACTCCATAGCGCTAGCTTGTGGGAGGAAGCGACTCACCAACATGACAATTCCTTTCGTCGTTACCATAGGGGCAATTGATGCGACCGTTGCATGCCAATGACTGCGGCACGCAGTTTTCGTCGCCGCAAGTGAGTAGCTGCATTGAAGAGCAGTTTTTCACTGAAAAATACCCAAAGTCGTCAAGGAAAACAGATAGTGGAGGTGAACGACAAACATTTGACGAAGGAGGAGTACAGGGCAGAAATCGAGGTGTTTCGGAGGCGATTCGCATCATGCAGATAAAAACGGATGTACATCAGATGATGTGATGAGAATACGTGTCCAGCTGTCACACCACAGTACCTGTAAAGAATGAGTTGACACTTTGGGAACGAATCTTTCATCTCTGCTTATAAGGGCTTTCCCAATATGGACGAACTTTCCAGAACAGTCTCAGTTCTGAAGATGACCTTGAAGGCAATCTGTACACTAACTCTCCGTAAATCCTAATACTCACAGTGTGCGAGGGAGAATGGGTCCACAGCTCCAGTACTGTGCCCCGTTCCCGGTCAAAAGTGCACGGGAACGGAGGTGGAAGTTAGTGAACCCAGGTGCCGTCTCCATACTTCGCTCGCGCCGCTGCAGGCACGCCACACCCCCCCCCCCACAGCCAAACGCGCTACTTTCTTCGCTCTTTCACTGTTGTTCTCCACATGTTTCCTTGGTATCGACGCAAGTGTTGCACTATGAAGATAGCGCGGGCGGAGTATGGAGACGACACAGGGGAGAGGGCCCAGTACTCTCCTGCCCCGTTCCCGTACACTTTTGAAGGGGAGAAAGTGACACGCCACATAGCAAGACTATCCTCTGAGGTAAGTGCACAGTTCATCCTCAGAAGCGCACCCACGCTGGTTCTGTGAATGTGTGATTTACCAGGTAATAGATTCGACAACCATAGGACATTGAATTGAAGCATAGGTAACTCGAAGGGCTTTCAAAGGCAAAGTACAAATGTGGGGAATGAAAGGCTTCCTGCATTTTGCAAAGGCAAAAAATGCAATAATGCAATAGCACAATAGCAAAATCCATTAGCACAGAGCAATTAGAATTTCATATTCCTTCGATGAAATCGGGTTTCCAGTCAACGTCCCATGGAAATTTGAAACCATCTCCTGGTTAGATCACAGCACCTCCCATCGGTGGGCTCATCGCTCTGAGCTACCAAAGAGGAGGAACGAATCAATGAGGAATGAGGTGGGGTCGAAGCGAGCTTGCCTACACGATCAGCGTGGCATGTCCATTGAGCTCTTATCCTTCTTTGAAACGGACAATTATCACCTTTTTGTATTTCTTCCGAACAACAAAGCCTCAAAGATAATACGAAACAATCATAAATTACCTCTTCAGCGGCTTGTCCGATCTAGTTCCCGAATACACTTCAAAGAAGTTAAGCTCGCAGTGGTTTGGAGCGTAAAGCGAGAACTCGTTGATGAATAGCACAATATTGTAGTCATGTGGTACTTCCAATAACCAAATGCAATCCAACGACCCCGTAAAGTTGAGTGCCTGAGAACCCGAAATTATAGTGAAAATTAACAAGTGAGGTCTTTCAGGTCGTAGAACCCGTTT